AGAGTTCATTTGGTCGTAGCAAATCAATAAAACATTACTCTGCGAATTCCAGTGAATGTTTTTAGAATGTTTCTGTTGCCATCACAAGATGTTTGGAATGAAACAGAGCGGTAACTTGTTATCTCTTGCGCCAACATATTTTTTTCACCCAGAGAGGGTGCTCGATGTCAGCTTCGAATTCCGCATAGAAAGGTTTGGCGGCGGAAAGGAAATGCACTTTCGATGAGAACCCTCTGTGCACTTGTTTAGAAGTTTAGTATATCTCTCCGGAATATGCTAATCGAATGAAAGCAGTTTTGGAAACCACGAATACCCATGCCGACATTACGTGTTTGGATCTAAATAATCTCCTATCAAAATAATGAATCGACAGTCGCGCACTGTTTTTAGATGTTTGCGTCAATTTCTATGTGTTATTATAAACGTGTTATTAACAAAAGAGTATAACGTTTTTTTTTTCCTTCCAAAAAAGTGAAGTAGGCCGTTCTTGTTGTTGTCTGTAATTTTGGCGTTGGACAAGTATCGCTATCTCGAAATGAACATCTCAGCAAATCGGCGTGTAATTTCAAAATCTTTTAAACGTTTCACTGAGAAAAATTGAACATGGTTTTTCCATTCCGATAGATCGTTTTCTGTATTGCTCTTACAGGACCCATTTCGAAAACACGATAGTTTTGGAAAAAGTCCTGTAGCATGGAGAAATTTAGCCGCGACTCATATTTTCCTCTCTCCTTCGCGTGATATGTAAAATGCAACGCGTCTTTTTCAGAATTGCGTATCTCCCAAAAAAAGAGGGGGAAAAAACCAGCGGGGAAAGGACCGAAGTGAAACAGATCTTAATTGAGGATCAATCCTAGCCAATTCCAATTCAGCAAAGCCAGTGGTACAAGAGCAGTGCGATTCAAGTTACCTGAGCGTGAATTAATTTCATCATGTTTATCACCACTGCCAGTTTCATCTATCGCTTGCTTGTTGACAGGCGTTTTAGCGTCTCAAAAAGCTATTGGGGGACACTTGATGTAATTTGACCTATT